TCATTCTCACCATTGTCTAACAAAGTGGATCACCCTGATAATAGGATTACCAAAGTTGTACAACTCTGCCCTAGAGTGAATTATTTATTCCCTCACTGATCAATATGTTTTTTTCTCTTTTGAAGGACAATACCAATGAGAGAGTTTACTTCAACCTGGGCATGCTTGCAATGGATGATCGGGATGTGGCAGGTGCTGAGCACTGGTTCCGCCAAGCAGTGCAGCTTAAGGATGATTTTCGTAGTGCTCTCTTCAATCTAGCCTTGCTGCTTGCGGATGATCATCGGCCATTAGAAGCAGCACCCTTTTTGAATCAGTTGGTCAAATTCCATCCAGATCATATAAAAGGACTTATCCTCCTTGGAGATATTTACATTAACAATATCAAGGATCTGGATGCAGCAGAAAATGTGAGTTATGTTAAAATGTTATCTTAATTTTCCTACGTTAGTTGGCAATGTAAGCATTTCTTTTGTTTACTTAAACTTAGATGATGAATATTACTCTTGAATGATATGATTCTAACTCAAAATTAGGTATTTTTTTAAAAAGTTGGGTTTATTGTATCAATATCATACACACCGCAGGTTAAAAGGCATTTGTGCCTAGACCTGTTTTACAGTAGACCAGATAGTTAATTCTCCAAGTGTTCCTAATTAAACCAATATCTTTGTGGTCTCCCTATTACTCTTTGTCCTGTTGGCTTGCATAATTAATTACCTAATTTGAATATTTTAATGTTTCTATTCAGTCATTTGTAATAATTACTATAAATGTCAAATTTCAGAATTTTTTTGAAAGATTGTAATCATTTTGTCATGAAATTATTATTATGATTAGAGTTTTCATTTGTTTATAATCATTTTAATAGACAAATAAAATTACAAAATGTCAATATTCCTTGCTTATTAATCATACATCATTTAACATGTTTACTGTCTGCAGCTATTTTGTAGTCTGGTACAAATAGCCATTGCAAATTAATTCCTTCTTCAAATTCAGCTCATCTGAGCCTGGAATGAGATTACTCATAGAAAATATGCAGGGCGTTTTGATTGACATTTTGTGCTTTTTCATCAATTTCATCGTCTGAAAGAGCCATCAAAACTTGTGGTTATCACTTTTAAATTGCCTCTGTATTTTCAGTTCAACAAATCATCACTCCAACTTGTTAATGGCAATATCTAGGAATCCATAGTAAATATTAAGTTAGTATGTTGGCCATCAGTGAGTCGTGGAACCTAGCAAAACATTGTGTGCCAGAATGTAATTTAGTTTTCTTCACTCGTTTATCATTAAATTTCACTTCTACTTCTCAGACTGGAAAATTCTATTGCATTATTTTTCAAATCATCATAGTGATTCCAAATGGTGTTCAATTCTTCTTAAGCTCCATCATGTAAATTCTGTGCTGTTTGCAAATCCAAATCAGGGCTTTGAAAATATATCGAAACAGTATTGGTTGATGTTAGTATTTTTGGAATGCAGTACTACATGGAAAATAAATTTAAAAATTTCCATTTCTTTTTCAAGTTACGGGCTTCATTTGTTTCAGCCATTTTGTTAGAAAATGTAATTTTTGTTTCAACTTGCATAATATTAAAATATTTATATAGCTATTAAATAATCTTTCCCTAATGACCATCTTGCAAGTCAAAATTGTTTTAATGATTAAAGATTATTTTGCTTTTCATCTGAATCCATCACATTTAATAATATGTTCCACAATTAATACTACAACCAAGAAAACATAATTTCCTTCTAGTAAATAGTAAAATGTCTGAACTTCTAATATCCCATTCATGGCATCATTAAGCATAAAATTAAATAATGAGCTGCACAGTGCACAACCAATGCATTGTCAACTCCATGTATTTTTTTCTTTCTTTTTCTGAACGTGTTTATAAATTCCACTCATAAATGCTGCAGCATTATTTCCTTGACCTTTGCATTTAGATTTATCAATGCCTTGTTCTTTTATGCTCTCCGTGATATCAAAATGCACTCCAACCCCTCCCCGTGCTGTTTGATTTTCAACTTTCTTAAATCCTATTAAAGATTCTTTAATTTTTATTTTATTTGGTTTGCTCAATTCATTTTTTTCGATGGCTACATATTGTAAAATTTGACTTCATTGGTCAACTTCATATGTCTTGCATTGTGTTTGTTATAATAACCTAGTCGTGCTACATTACATACTTTCTCGCATTATTTCTAAATTTGCAATTTTGAAAAATTCAAAGTCAACGAAAATGAGACCCTCACAATATTTTTGAGAAAATAATTTTTTAGAAATTGCATAAATTTTAAGCACATAACGCGAAAATTACTCATTTTTTCAAAAAAAAATTATACAGGACCCTTTTTAAGGAGCTGATTTTTTTAGAACAGTCTATGTTTAGGGAAAAAAAATCCCTGTCATTAATTTCTGTTTTTGAATTGCTACTTATTGCAATTTTCGAAAATACGGAGAGTTCTCCGAGAATGGGACAAGCACATACTTTTTATCGTTCCTTCATACATACGAGGAGAAATCGTAAAGAAAAAAAATTGGAGCTGTTTTTGAGAAAAAATGTTTAATATTTTTTAATTGCCTACATTTTGCGCGAAATAACAAGAAAACTACTCATAGTCTCTAAAAATTAAACATTTTCTTATTTCAAGATCTGTCTTTAATGGACAGATTTTATTGAGGAAAAAAATATATCTTAAGTATCATAGTTGTAGGACACTTTTGCAATTTTAAAAAAATCTGCGATTTCAACAAACATGAGACCTGCACTTAGCTTTGAAAATATTTTGAGGCTTCATGTTAAGTTGCCTCAAAAATCAAAATATCCGGTTGAAACTTCCAAAGCCTCGAGTTCGTTGAGGTCGATCGCCGAATATCAATTTTGGAGAAAATTGGCCGAACGGGTTAGGCGCTAGCGTTAAGCGCTAGTGACCACGGACGGAAGGACAAACAGACTGAGACGTTTTGCCGTAATCTATTTTTCGATATCAACGTGAATTCTGGCTACACCACGTATTAGAGGAAGTGATTTGCTTTATACAGCAACAGAAAGTATCAACGTTTGTTACCAGGGCCCGTCAATAAGAGTTTTCTGCCAAAAACTCGTGCGCCTCCGGTTTTCGTCTCACGACAAAACTTTCTCTTCTTACGAAGTAAGTGCGAGACAGTAAAAAACGACGCTTAACTATTTCTTCTATGATTTTATCAGACACACTGTTAGATAAAAGACTTGTTATTTCGTTGTGAATTTGGAGACTAACATGGGGCCGGTCATTGTCCTGTCAATCCGTATGGAACGCCACTGCCTCTCCCTTCGCGCAATAATACCGCCCAGGTGTATCAGAGGTTGCATTGAACTGTATGTTGTTAAAAAAACAACACATTGTAGGGTAACATTTTTAATGGCAAATACGCAATTTTTTATTCTATAGACCGCTCAAAAGTATACTTCCACTTTGATGTAATAGATTATTTGATTTATGATTAGTAATTATGATATGATTAATAGATAGTGTACTTTCACTTTTATATAATAAATTATTTTGCAAAAATTTTGGCATTTGACTCATGTGAACATTCTACACTTTTTAAATTATTGTTTCTAAAGAGAAAATAATTTAATTTGGGAACCCAACTTCGAAAGTTTCTGACCACCCATTCTGCAGAAAGGCGGTAACATCCAAAATAATGTAATGGAATGTTCAAATAGTGTCACTTTTGTAGAATACAGTGTAAGAAACAATTTGTGTATCTACTCAGGTTTTAAGGGTCTGAAATGCATTGCTTCTGAGTTACACATTTGTGCTTGCTACATCCTTGTGTTATAAACTGCAAAATTCTAAATTTTTAATCTGTGTTTGATGCACACCTGGAGGTCATTTTCGATCTTAGAGTTCTGTATCAAAGGTGACTTCGAAGTTGTACAATACTATCCTCTTTCCTTAACAATTTAGAGGAACATCTTTCTGATCAAAGAAATTCATTCTCATGAACAAAAAATGTATAGTATTTTTAATAAATTGTCCAAAATTAACCAATTGATGGTCGCATTAATTAATTTTGCTTGCTTAGCCACACCCAATATTGTCTAGTCCATGCATTATTGGAGTTATCTGGAAACAGCTAATCACAGGTTTAGAGGAATATTCTGAACCAACAGACGTCATGAATATGCCCTGACCTCAGAACGCTGTAATGATCTTGGCTAAATCAACATCTAGAATTCAGGAATATGAAAACTTTCTAATGTGTCATGTTTAGAATGTCTTTGTCTACTGAGGAAATAAAATTCACAAATTAGTCCAAAAGAAGCAATTTTGATTTGACCAGAAAAGTGTCTCTTGAAATGAAGATGCTAGCATGACTTTCTTAAATTAAATTATTGTATTACACTCATACATTTTACAATATTGTGCTTCACACTACCAGATGACATTAAGCAATTAAATTCAATAGATAGATTCAATTACCAAGTGAAATCTATTCTGCAATACAGCTGTTTTCATAGAATGTTTCCATAGAATTATACTAGAGATTCAAACATTATTTAATGTGTCTTATAATAACACTAGTGCATTAGTTAAAATTTTATGTAGTGATTTTCTTTACACACGCAAACCTTTTCATCTATTTTTTCAGGATTTTGTATTGATCAAAAATCTTCTTTAAGCATTTCCTAAGTAATGAGCTACAGTTTTAAAGACATTTCTAATAATGAGGATAAGTGTCAATCTTGGCATATTCTAAGATAACACATTTCAGTATGTTTTATGCATCACAAGAAAGAAAATTTAATTTTCTTTGTATGCACAATGAATTAATACAAAGTTTAAAATTCTGTGAATTGGGACAGAAAATTGATGGTTCTTTATCTGCACTACCCTTGGCTTTTGGCACATCACTCTTTAAGAGTGATAATATGCAGCTTGTTTATTTTTAGAATTAACTGTGTATCAAAGAGAAAATTTATTAAGGAATAGTTTGTTTGTAAATGTGAGAGTTTGTTGGTGAAGCAAATGGTGAATCATTTTTTAAAAAATAGATATGCTTGTAACTGCTTGTTAATATTTTATGTATCAGTTGTTTTTGTTGTTGTTTTTTTTAACATTTCACTTGTTCATGTTTTATGTTCAATTTACATTGAATATGCTCAGGTGATCTTTTCCTTTGCTTCAGGTACTCACTCTAAATGTAGCTCCCCCTCCTCCTCCCAAAAATATGATAAATTGATTGATTAATTGGAATTTTTACCTATCAGAAAAGTCACAAATTGCTGCTTTTTACTTAAAGATGCAACTTTGTTGCGTATCCAAGTTCTAAGGATTCAATGTTTATTTGATTCTAGCAATAGCATTTGTTTTGAATAATAATTAAATTTCAAAGGTTTTGTTAGAAAAACAAATTTCTTACAGTGCAAAAATTGTTCTGTATAGAAAATTTGTTGTCATTTCTTAAAAATTTCAGCAAATTAAACTTTGTTACTTCCGTGCTTTATGTAAATATAAAAGAGAAGTTTATCTATAGCATTTTGCTTTGTAATACAACTACCTAGAATATAATTATTTTCTGTGAGGTCTTAGGTTCAAGAGTAGGCTGAAATTCAAATTGATATTTTAAAAATTTAGACTTAATAGAATATAATGTTCACTATTAAAATAATATGATCACCACATTGGTGCAAGTTGATTAAAATTACAAAACAAATCGGAGTAAATGTGGCAGAAAATGAAAGTATTTTTTCCTATCAGTTTCTTTTGTACGAATTTATGACAATTCAGAACAAATAGCAGATCAATCAAATTAAAAAATCTTTGTTGTCATTAGGAAAACCTTTTCCAAAACATGAAAACTTTTAATAATGGTAAACTAATATGAAAAGGAATAATTTTCAGTTGATTTTGATGAAATCCTTATAACCTTATGAATTATGGTAGTTAAGTATAGCAAGGAAATTAAGAAATCACTCATATCCTCTTTGAACCTGAATCAGAAAACTTTACAGCAATAAGATCATGTTTACCTTAAAATATATAAGATCTAAAAAACAAGATAACTGATCTTTTAACTAAATTTCAAAATTTTAAGAAATGATTTTATTAAAAATTCAAAAGATTTCTTGAAGAACCAGAGAAATCTTGTGTCTCTAAATATACTTGTTGAGTATGGTGTAATTATGACAAAATTTTTGTAAAAGCTTTATTAATTTTTTTTAATGTTGATATCTTAGTAAAATCAAATTATTTATTTATGTACTTATAATGACGTAAGTAGATTCCAAAAGTTTTCCATGTTAATTACAGATTACAGTCGAAATTAAAAATGAAACTACTGCCAATCCCTTAATTAAAATCAACTAGTAGTCAGTGTGTTGAGTGTTAATAAGTGCTATTAGGTTACTAATGTCAATACATTTTTTGACATTCACATCATAGACTCAAAGACAAGTAATGGTGCTACATAATGGCTCAGACTTTCCGATATTAGTTTTCTATTTCCTTTGGTCTCAGCTAGCTATTCGGACTTGCCGCATACTCTTGTCGACTGCCATCTATGAGCACCCAAAGTACATTTTTTGAAATTTAAAAAAAATTTCAGTTTCCTTATAATAGAACGGAAATATTATTTTATGAATATTAAAGAACGGTAAAACCTTGCAATTTTCTTTGAAAAATTTGGAGCTCTTTTTCGCAGAAAATTTTTGAGTTTTCAAAAAACTTCACTAGAAGAGATTTAATGTACTTATTATGAGATTTGAGGTGCATATTCACAGAGTGAGAGATCTTTAAAAAAAATGCATTTGTGTAATTTTTGAAAAACAGAAATAAAATGAACTTTGTCATATGTAAAAATTTACTGTGGTTTTTAAGAAAATGGCATTTGACCGTCTGAAAATGCAGAATTTTGTGCTAGTTTTCACAGAAAACAGTTGAGTTTTCAAGAAATGTGATGTGACATTAATTAAATACAATAATGTGAACAAATTCCTACTAATATAAATATTAATGACGTGAGATGCTAGTAAAAAAATACATTTTGTTGTGTTACACATTGTAATTTTTGGAAAAACAAAGGAATACAGCAATATGGCGTTTGTGTCATCTCATAGAGTAGATTTAGCACTATCCCTGTCAAAAGTTTGAAGAAAAAAGTTGGAACCTTTTCTGAGAAAATCTTAGTTTTGAATTTTTTTAAAATTACAAATATTGCATGCAATAATGTGTGAAAACTACTAAAAGTTTTTAAAAAATGTACATTTCTTTAATGAAAGAACTAATTGTGCACAACAAATTTAATTTGATGAAAAACCCTCAATCTGCAATTTTGTTGTAGGAAATCCCTCCAAAAAATTCATCCTTTTGAAATTTTTGAAAATTCAGACTTAATCAGACCTATGCCACTTTTATAAGTGCATGTTACTCTATTCTTACTAGAAATTGAAAGAAAAAAATTTGAGTCATTTTTGAGAAAATTTTGAAAATATGCTGAGGGCTTCATGTAAAGTACCCCCAAATTATACAGAATGTTTTTAAAATCTTAAAGCTTCGACTCAAGGGCAGCGGTTTTTTCAATTTGGATAAAATCCTACGCAAGGTTTAGGTGCTAATAGTGTTCACGGACAGACGTTTTGCCGTCAATTGCTTTTTGATATCCAAGACTCAAAAACAGGGATTCTGGCTACACTACATCGAGGACATTTTTTTCTTAATTTAGCAACTGGATTTATCCACTTTCTCATTATCAAGGTCTGGCAGTGAATTTTTTTCTGTTGCTAATCTGCCTTTTTTTGGGCAGCATTACTTAACTTTCCCTATATTTCTTCATATATATACGTATACGTATACGAAAGTAAAAACCATGCAGTATGCCCGTTAATTTTTGTTAACTCTTTTTTGCAAGAAAATTTTTGAAGAAATGAATTTTTGTTGTTGTTTTATTATTATTTTTTTTATTTTACTTTAATATTACCTCTTGATTTTGGGGCAATCTGCTTTTTACCTTTCTTCTCTGCCAGTCATGAAGTACCCTTCCTGCAAATATACAATGTGTCGCAAGCACCTCTCCATCCCATAGCCCATCTCTACCAGAATGGGCAAAATTCCTTCCCCATACCTTGGGTGCCTGAAGCCCTTCTCAGATAGACTTGTGAGCCTGTTAAATTAAAGTACTTTATGCTTTTAGGATTATTCTTTAAATTTAGATTGTTCTGCTTCCAAGTTTTTAAAATATACCTTTTATCTTTTTTGTGGGTGTCTTCTGTTTCACTTCCATATGTCTACTTTATAAGAACTTTTATGAAACAGAAAATTACAAATGATAGTTTTAGTAAATTATTCATTCTGTGGAATGAATTTGTAGAAACAGATTTCTCAATCAGCGAAACATGAGAATAATTTTTTATTTTAATCTACAATAATGTCTTTTAATTTACAAGAAAATAGCAAATTTAATAATTGTTTAAACCCATTAGAATTGTTTAACCCCATTTGCCATCTGAAAGAAGGCAAGGCTATTTAATGTAAACAAAGTAGCTTAATGAATAGAATGTTCATACATTTAATTGCATTTTTTTAAAAATATTTACAATTTCTATTAAGCTATGAACAAAATGAAGGAAATAAGCAAAGAAATAAGATTTTCTAGATTTGATGTATGTCAACAGTTCACATTTTAAAAATAAATACTATTAAAAATACCATACAATGTGACAGTAGTAAGATTCCCCCATGCCACAAACCGTACTTACCATATCCTAGATACACCATTGCATTGAGTAAACACTGAGTGTTCCCTACTTTGCTTCAGAACATTAAAAAAGTATATATGAACATAAAACCTAACTCTAGCTGATTTAATGAACTTCATTTTTACATTCATTGACTTTTTAGTTAGTATACTTTTATTACAGATTATGAATAATTCTTTATTGTCAGGTCTGCACTAAAACTTGTTGAATGTAATTAATATTATTTCTTTTCTGTCTTCACAGTGTTACAAACGTATCCTTCAACTTGATCCTGAGAATGTTCAGGGTCTTCACAACTTATGTGTGGTGTACGTAGAGAGAGGCAATCTGCGCCGTGCAGAAGCTTGCTTAGTGCGAGCACATCGTCTAGCTCCTCATGAAGACTACGTGCTTCGACATCTAAATATTGTCAGGTCGAGAATTCAAAAGTTACAAATTCCACAAGATAGTGAAGGAGAAGAATTTGAGGACTTTGAACAGTATGAAGGAAACTCTAATGAAAAATCAGTGAATGACATTGTAGATAAAGTTTATGAAGAGGACAATGAAGAGGTTGACCAGAAGGAATCTGATACAAGTCCTCAACATCATAAAAATAAACTGCCACCAAAAGGGCAGAGTGGTGCTAGCACTGCAGGCAATTCCCAGCTACCTGAGAACACAAAACATGTGAAAAATAGGGTAGATAGTAGCACAGGTACCAGTGGGCACACTGTTCCACAAAGAACTCACACAGTTGAGAAGAAAGTGGTCAATGAACAAGTCAGCCGCAAAACAAGTTCGCAGCTTCCAGGAAGAGGTAGCAGCCAAGCCCAAGTTCCACAGTTCAATGACAGGAAGTACATGAGTCAGGCAGATCAACGGAGAAATTCTGGTCCGTCATATACGGAATTTCAGGAGCAGCAGCCAAATAGCAAAACCTTAACAAGTCATCATTCTGCTCTGAAACAGCATTCTTCATCTTAGCACCCATGAATATTTCTTGAATGTAAGCCTGTTTAGTTTATTTTTACTGTAGAAACGTTGGGCAGTATTGCATTCAATGTGGGAAGTTTCTTCTCCAGACATTTCTTCTTGGACTGTGTACGGAATGGTATCAGTAGATAGCTGAGGTGCCTGTTCTGCAAGACTGTACTTGTAGAATTGTTAATTGTTGAAAAGGCTTTTGAGACAAGGGAAAAGCAATTGCAGTTGAGAACATTTCCAGGTGCAAATTGTAATGTGCAGTAGCGAGAAGTACTGAATAATTTGACAATAGATTTTGAATATAATTAAATGAGCCTAAATATGTCTTCATCACTTTGTCTTCCAAAAACAGAAAACCAGGTAGTTTAATTCTAACCTCATTATTATCAACATATGCATTGAAAGGTTTTACTTTTTTTATGTTCATTATACTAAACAATTTGGAGTATATTCTGTGAATTGGACATTTGGTTTTGCATCAGTTTACATTAAGCTAAATGAGGAGTATTCATTTTAAAGTACTTTTTTGAGATTCCACTGTTCTCTATTCAGGATAGTAGTTAAATTTGTGTCAAAAGTACTATGACTGTGTTTTAATTATTTCAAGATCAAGAAACTAATATAATCTATTAGAAAAGAGATATAAATATTCTAATTCTTAATATTTAAAATTCTTTATGGTAATTACTGTATATTGGTGGCAGTAATTATTTTCAAGCCTGAAGACATTGTGGAAACAATCTAAGGTGAGTGAAACCCAAAACTTTACTAGTACACATTGTGATTCAAGATGAACAGTGATTGATCTCCAAGAAATGTAAATATCAAAGTACTTGTCTCTGTTCTCTGCATTGTGCTTCCCCATGTCTGTTTTCTCTTCAGTGCAAGTAAAGCTTGCAGTGCAGATACCTAAGTTATATTTTCCATTCCCTCCAGATGACTCTGACTGCAGGTGTTTTACTTTGAAATTTGATTTCTACATAACATGTGATCTATTACTAGTGAACGACTTCGATCTTGCCAGACAATGCAATGTCCAAGGAAGATATGAAATGTGACTGCTGGGATGTTTTAATAACACAATGATATTGAATGTTTGAGTGAATGATAAAAGTTTGCTGCAAGACTTTTGTTGCATTAAATCAGCATATATTTTGTGTAAGTTGATTTTATGCCACAAAACAATTTATGTATTGTATTTGTACCTAAGCAGAGAAAAATACTATTAGAAATCATTAAGTATTTGGAATTGATTATGAACTTGATATTCATAATTTATCTGTTAACACATTTATTATTTAAGATGTAATATTCTGTGATACAAAGCATTTGTGTAGTAGATTCTAATGTATTGCAGCTTTTAATGATCAGTATATTCTAAGAGCTTCTTTATTTTAATGTTGAAAATATATTGAAATTTTATTAAGGTCTTTTATGTTCCTAGCATTAGTGAGATACTTTCATTTATAAACATGTAAGACTTCTTTAGAAATGTGAGACTATATAGCCCTGCATTTCTAAAAATACATAATTTTCCAAGTTCTATGAATGTTTCTGTCCATGTAATTGGTGGCGATGGTAAAGCAAGGTTTATTGTCTGGAAAAAGACTTTCAGCAGCTTTTTTCTGTATTTCTTTTAAGTATTTTATAGATTTGTAAATTCACTTTTTACTGGAAAGTGGTCTGTGCTGAAGAAGAATGATAAATAATGCTTCCTACTTTTGTAGCCACTGCTCTGTAATTTCCTTCACAATACAGAATGTCTAGTAACTAGCATTTCTGTGTTTATTAGAATGAAGAGCATTTTCATAGGTTACATGTTGACAATCTTCCTGAAAGCAGGTGCATATATAAGTATATCTTTTCTGTACCTTGAAAAATTAATTCAATTATCTATTGAAAAAGATATTGGAAGAAAGTAGAGGCCTATTCTTTTGAACGTTTCAATTAATGTAATCATTATTTTTGTTTTGAATGTAATTAGTGCTTATCTTGAAGCACAGACTATCAGATGAGCAAAAACTATTTATTTTCAACTCAGCATTTTTAAGTGTATGAATGCTGCAAAGTTGATTACTTACGTAAATAACATAAGTAAATTTATTTAAAAACCAATTAGAAATCATGTAATTTATTATTTTATTAGTAATTACAGCACAAATAATGCCATTGGAATTAATATTGTTTTAAGTTTCTTTCCTGTCCATTTCACATTCTTGTAGAAGGTTTTAAATGACTCTGTTACATAGACTAAAAGATTTCTACATTATATACTATTACCTGATGGAAAACACACATAAATATCAATAATTATCATAATAATATTGGTCTATGAAATAATATCAACAATTATTAAAATATCTGAATTGTAAAATTTGATTTTCTTTTCTGGCTGAAAACCCCAGTTTAAAATTGTTGAACACATTTACACTCAGAGAAATTTTTAAAAGCATACTTCCTTTCATACTTGTAAACCTTTTTTAACCTTCAAAAATAGACATTGTTTAGACTTACTCAGAATTTCTTGTGCATGAAAAATTTGATAGATATAAAACTGACTTTTAAAAATGATGTAAAGTGATAGGTTTGGCCTGGGTGACTAAAAATATCTTTCTATGAAGGAGACTTCACCTTAATTTTTTTTTCTTGCTTATTTTTCTGAAGATGTACAAGAAACAAATTATCCTAAATAGGATGCATTATTACAATCAGAGGCACCTGTTTTCAAAGGCTGCAACATCATAACTTACGTGGAAATAAGCTGACTTTTTATGGAGTGTTTTGTATTGCAATTCCAGAATAGAGCACACTTATGATTTTTATTATATTTCTATATATACATATATAAATGTGTACATTGGTGCCTTGTACAAATGATGTTAAAAACAATTTCTAAGGCGAAGATGAGTTTTTGTAAGATGTAATAATGAATATTTTTATATGTTCATCGAAGAGTTAATGAAACCATGTTCTGGAAACTATGAAGAAAAAATATATGTTAAGAATAATGTAAGTAAAAGCAGGTATTTAAATGGTATATAAAGAGAATGTTGAAAACTAGAGAGAACATAAAGATTAGTTTAGTATACATTATGTGATAAATGTGTTTTATATCGTAATGTATGTAATGTGTTGTGAGATCATTGTAGTGGTATTGTAGTGGCACTTGGAGATAGAATTTGGCATTATGTCTCGAAATTGGAAATATAATTTCTTTCAATTTTATATGGAAGGAGGGATGTTTCCATAAATGACAAGAATACCACCCTTCTTCCTTTTGGGAGTATTAAAGTGTGCAATTTGTTATTATAAGAACGATAATATTATCTCATGATCATATGACCTCCAAAAATTGAAAATAG